TGGACATTCAAATTTAAATTTAATATTACAAGAAAATGGAGTATTTAGTAATCAATGAATTAATTACATTTATTTTCAATTTTTTCAATTTGAAAATGCAATTAAAAACCTATTTAAAAAAACGTTTAAAAATTTGGAGACCTTGAGCATGGTTACTGATTAATTGACTAATTTATTGTTTTATTTAAATGACAACAGATCCTGAATAAAGTCATCTCAAAAGAATGAATGAATGAATTGATAAAAAAAATAACTGAGGGTGTGAACAAAATAATTAATAACCTGAGTGGTTTTGTAGTGCTTGATTGTGTCCGTCTTTAGTGGGTGTGATCAGATCCCAAATGAAGCTCTTAATTTTGTCGTCTCCCTTATAATGGCAAACACAGTAGACTAGAAGTGCCCTGCACAGCACCTCCATGTCTCGCTCCGTCAGGTGCCATTTAAAACGCCCATGATTGAGAATATCCTTCCAGCGACCCCACCTGTACACACAGCAAACATTTCATTGGTCTGAGATGTATAACCTGCATATGGCCTAATTTATGGCTTCAATATTTAGACCATCTGCTTGATTTGCAAATATAATGGCAGAAAATGGTCTTAGATTATTTCATTTAGTTTTTGTACCCTTGTTTGGAAACAGTCACTTCATTAACAGCCTGTTGTAGGGCAACAGAAGGTGACCCAGAAGGATTTTTTTTTTTATATATAAATTACAATTTGTCTGATCTCATTATATTGAAATTGAATTTAATAATGACAAATATAATTTCATGACTGACAGGATGCATGAAAATTTTAACTATGCACCCTATTTATGTGATATGATTATGATGCAAAATGTACTTTTGCTGATATGTTACACAATATCCACAAGTCTTACTTGTTGCAGTGTTGTTTGAGATGTTTCTTGTAGCTGTCATCCTGAAGCACAACCTCTGGGTTACAGTGGACCAGCCAGTCTGCATTCTTCAGCTCAGGTGGACTCAACTGGTTCTTCAGCTTCTTGCCTTTACGACCCCGTGGGACAGGAGCAGACAGACCTGGATAGGTAAAATGCATTTCATGACATATATTGAATTCTATTTAAATAGACAAATAACTAAGAACTAGGGATGCTTATGATTAATTGAACTTCAATTAATGGTAATTAATCATTTAATTGTTTAAATACATTGACTGTCAATCAATTTCAGCACAAAAGATTTAGCAGTTCATTCAAGCAGTGAAAGCATTTTGATGTAACTTCTTCAAAGTTTAAGAAAGAATACTGAATTGACTAATTTATTGTTTTATTTAAATGACAACAGATCCTGAATAAAGTCATCTCAAAAGAATGAATGAATGAATTGATAAAAAAAATAACTGAGGGTGTGAACAAAATAATTAATAACCTGAGTGGTTTTGTAGTGCTTGATTGTGTCCGTCTTTAGTGGGTGTGATCAGATCCCAAATGAAGCTCTTAATTTTGTCGTCTCCCTTATAATGGCAAACACAGTAGACTAGAAGTGCCCTGCACAGCACCTCCATGTCTCGCTCCGTCAGGTGCCATTTAAAACGCCCATGATTGAGAATATCCTTCCAGCGACCCCACCTGTACACACAGCAAACATTTCATCGGTCTGAGATGTATAACCTGCATATGGTCTAATTTATGGCTCCAATACTTATTCGGTCAGATTGATCTGCACATGTAATGGCAGAAAACGGTCTTAGATTAATCTTTTAGCTTTTGTCTTGTTTAAAAACAGTTACTTCATTAACAGCCTGTTGTAGGGCAACAGAAGGTGACCCAGAAGGAATGAGTGGGCAGCCGAAAACAAATTAAGCACTGACCCGAAAATGAGAAGGTTTTTCTCCACTCTGAAGCACTCCGCTCGGAGGTAGCGTCTGTTGCGATCGCTGAGACGTCTTGTGCGACAGGGTCGTTCTTCTGAGTCGCTGTCCAGTTCAGAGAACTCCATCAGTTCATCATCCTCAAACGAGTTATAGTGACGCGTCTGCTTCCTTACGCGAGGGGTGTCGATCACCAGACTCTCCTGGAAGACACAGACACTAGTCAGAAAGTGTTGCCTTCGCAATATTGTACTCCTTAAATGTCACCAATATGCAAACACATTAAAGCAACCCATCTGTTTTGACTCTGCTGATATTCAAATGACCTTTATATTCTCTCTCTAGTCTATGAGTTGATTCTCTTGCATTACACCACCTGAGTCAGGAGGAGCTCATATATGCAAAGCTTTGGCTTTTAAAAATCACGATTTTTACCTTTTCTGCCTTGGAGTCAATTTCGAGTTCAGCAATTTTGGCCCACTTCTGCCAGAAGTTTGGATCATCCAGAGAGATGTCTGTACGGTTCCCTGAAGACACAAAGCTAGCCTGCAATTGGTAAATAATAAAGGATTATGAACACTTATTTTAAGATAGAGATCACACATCAAAGCCTGTGTTATACTGATATATGCAATGCTTATTCAGCTTTTTCATTCACATGACTTTTCCACTCATCTACCATATTTATGACCAACAGCACTGAACACAAAAATATGAACAGAGATACCAAGGGAAAAAACATTGGCAATTGTTTTTTGTAAATCAGTTTTGCAAATCTCAAGTAGACACAAAGGTTTGATGTCAGTAAGAATTGTTTTTGAAAGAATTTAATACTTTTATTTAGCAAGGATGCATTACTTTGATCAAAAGTGATAATTAACGATTTGAAGACTTTCATTTCAAACTTCTTATTCATTAAAGAATCCTGGAAAAATGTATCACTGTTTCCACAAAAAATGAAGCAGCACAACTGTTTTCAGCATTGGCAATAACAAGAAATGTTTCTTAAGCAGCAAATCACCATATTAGAATGATTTCTGAAGGATCATGTGACACTGAAGACTGGAGTAATGATGCTGAAAATTCAGCTTTACATCACAGCAATAAATTACATTTTAACATACCCTAAAATACAAAATATTACTTTTAAATTGTAGTAATATTACACAATATTACCGTTTTTACTGTATTTTTGATCAAATACAGGCCGCCTTGGTGAGCCTTCTTTCAAAAACATTAAAAAAATCTTATAGACCCCAAATATTAATGGTAGTGTATGTCGAGATGTGCACCTTGGCAAAAGTTGATCCCTTCCCCTCAGACTGGATTGTGATAGTCTGCGTGCGTCGCTGCAGGATCTGATCAATATCCTCTTCACAAAATTTAGAGCCCTCATCTTCCTCATCCATAAGCGCCCCGTACGCTCCCTTCCTGAGAAGATCTTCCACCTCCATCTTAGAGAGCTGCTGAA